AGGACTGGAGCTGGGGACCGTGGGGGTTCCTGGTGTCCTGAACCCTTCGCTGGGACAGAGCTGGGGGCTAGGAGGGTCGTTTTGGGTCATGAGCCCCGCCCAGGGATAGAGATGGGGACTGTGGGTGTCCTGGGGCATTGGCATTCCGTGAGGGTAGAAATGGGGGTCTCTGGGGCCCTGTCCCTGCTGTGGGCTAGACTGTGCCTGCTCTGGGGGTTGCGGGGGTCCCGTCACCCCGTGCAACAGCGCTGGGGTTTGTGGCGTCCTTGGGGTCGTGTTCCCTCCACAAGATTAGAGCCAAGGGGTGCGGGGGGGGTGTCCCTATCCCAGAGCTGCTGCCCCCTCCGCCCCCCCGCCCTCTTGTGGCACTGCTGCTGAGGCTGCTGGGACCTGCAAGCTGAGCTGAGAAACCCGCTCCACCCCTCCCCTCTGTGCCCTCCCCGCTGCCCAGCTGGGGCCCAGCCGTGGCCTGGGGCAGGGCTGTGCGGCAGTGAGCAGCGTGAGGGGTGAAGCTTCCTCTCACCTTCCAGTCTTTGTGTCTGTCTGCTGCAGGGATCCCATGGAGTGTTCTCCGGAACTACTCCTCTGCCAGCGCCAAGGAGAAGGCGAGGAGAAATGCCATCTGCGAGAGGACGGAGCTGCTGGAAGGTGAGTCGGGGAGGGCTGGGAGAGCTGCAGGGGTTTCCCTTGTTTGGTGTCCTGGAGTTTTTCTAGGAGTCTTCCCATTCTATATAGCCATAAAGAAGTTATTTGGGACTGGAAATACCTGTAGACTGGGGAAGGATGTGGGGCTTCCCGTGGACTTGCTGGCCTCCCTGAGCAAGTTCTGTCCTGTCTTAACGACCTGGAGGCCCACCCTACCCACAGGGAGCGTTGAGTTGCTGTAAAACACAGGGTGGTCCTCAGGGACTGTAGAGGAGTCCCTCCAGGGCATGTGAGGGCCCTGCCAGCTGACCTGGAACATGGTCTGGCTTTGGGTTTTCTGCCCAGGTGAGCTGGGGGCGTGAGGTCCTTGGAGAGAGGCCCAGTGAAGTGACCAGGCAGCAGGTTAGACAAGCGTGAGCTGGTGCTTTTTCCACTGCAGTGACATTGTTGGGTTCCTTGGGATGACAGGGTGGATCCCAGAAAGACAGCGGTCAAAACAGCTGATTGCTGGGAGGAGGGCTGGCCAAGGAGGGAAGAAGTCCTTGTGCGGAACCTCTTTTCCTGAGTGTGTTCCCGGGCACTCCCAGAGGTGAGGCCCTGGGGTAGGATACAACCTTCTGCTGTGCCTTACATCCCTTCACCTCTCCCCGGCTGTGTGTTTCCTGGCAGTGCTGAAAGCTCGGGTGAAGCAGCTCCAAGCCAGTAATGTCCCAGAGATGACGGTCAACAAAGTGGATCTGGCCCCGCTGGGGAATGACAAGTACCAGGACCTGCTGGAGAAAGTGGTGGCTCCTGGCCCTGCAGAGGAGCAGCCCACTCCCAGGGGAAGGGGTGAGAGCCCGGCCAGGCCCGGAAACTGGGTTGAGAAGTTGAAGAAGGAGATGTACATTCGGCAGCTGAAGGTGGAGCGGAAATTATCCATTGCTGCCTCCCGGCTGGCTCTGGAGGGCCAGGCCAAGGCCAAACCCAAACGAAAGGATAAGGCGAAGGCCAAAGCTAAAGCCGAGAAGAGACTGAAGAGGCCAAAGGCTAAAGTAGCTGCTGCCGAGAGCCAGAGCCACGCTGGCTCCCGCAACGTCTATGCACGCAGCAAGCCCATGGTGGTAGCAGTGAAGGAGGCTGCAAAGGCACAGAGGCCTCAGAGGGTGCTGAAGAACAAGGACAGCAGCCAGCACAAGGTCCTGCAGCAGACCATCCAGTCCAACCTTGAATGCTTCTTGTTCTTGCAGCAGCCAGAGGAGGCCGAGAGGTTCCTTCTCTTGTACCACAGGTCCCCTGTGAAGAGAAGGCTCTTGAATACCAATGCGTACAACATCGTGATGCGTATCTGGGCAAGAAAGGTACCAAGCTGTGGGCTGCTACCCTACTCTGGCTGTCAGGTTTTCTGGGTGGCCGAGGGGGAGAGGGGGGCTGGCTCAGGAGGAGGATCCTCATGCTTGTAGAAACAGTGGTCGCTGTTTTATCTGTGTTTGTCACATCTGCCTTCAGCAAGAGGGCTTGGCTTCTGCTGAGAGGGATGGAGCTGATATGAGGCCACTGATCCCTGTGAGGTGGCTTTGAGGGGGAGAAAGGGATGGGGCAGGATAGATGTGGCTAAAGCTGAACGGGAGCAGAGGGGTGTGAAGCTGTGATTTGGGGCTGCTCGTGTCTGTGTCCACAGCCCCCTTCCCTTCTCATCCGCAGGGCTGCTTGCAGCGCATCAACCGGCTGTTTTCCATGATGGAGTCCGTCGGCCTCCAGCCCAGCCTGGACTCCTATGCGGCAGTGCTGGAGTGTATGGGCCGGAACCAGTCGTGCACCAAAGCCATCCAGAGGTAATGCACTTCGCTGGCCACAGGGTGCCGCTGACCCCGGCCAGCATCTCCGCAGCCTGCTGATTTGCTGTGCTGGGAGAATTGGGAGCTCTCTCT